GTTTGTAAAAACAAACCTAGTATTTTGTCTCTCCATATTCAACATCTACTGTAAATTATAAATGTATGTACAAACCAAAAACTATGTCTGGATATTCAGCATAATAGCTTGAATTGGTTTGGTTTTGAATAAAAAAAAAGTATCATATTATAAAATAATGTTACTTTTAGTTAATATTATAAAAATTTGCATATATTAAAAAATTGGTTTATTCGGTTTATTTGATTCGATTGTACAAAATTTAAATTCATATAAGTAATATTCCACATCAAACATATGATAGAACTTCAATCTATATATAAAAAACATGAATTCTAGTATTCATTATCAATTATTTTATTAGGTTTTGTTATGTCTTATGTCTTTTGGAATATCAACACAAAATGTAATATGATAGTTAGCAAAGGAACTTAATTTCCGACTAAATTCCAAATATTCGGTGAAAACAAATGGGACCAAACCGGTTCGGTATTTGGCATGAGTGGACCGTGGGGACCGAACGATAGCATACACGTATAGAGACAAATGAGTGCTGGAAGAAAGCAAAATTTCACATTCAAATTAAATCTTTTTGCTACTTTTAATTTTTTATTCAATTGCATATTAGATCTATTTTGAGGGCTAAAATCTAACATATCCACGAGATTTTTTTTCTTTCATTTGTATGATATTGGGAAAAGTGAGTAATTATTAATTGCAATTGTATGCTTATAATTAAAAAAGGACTGTCTCCATTTCATCAGTCAGATTTGTTTGCACATTAGAAGGACCAGAAGAAGCTATGAAGGTAAAAAACACAACCCGTGATTTTGTTTTTTTTTTGTTTTAATTACTTTTAAGTACATACACTTTCTGTTTTTTTTCTGATACAAATGGTCAGATTTCTCAAAACAAAAACAAAAAACGTTAACTTTCACGAATTAGACAACTCCAGAAACGAAATCTATCAAACAATTTTTGGTAAAAGACACAATTGATATAAGTATTTTTTTTTTGATCAAACTGATATAAGTATACAAAACCAAATTAACAACATAATAAACTTATTTTTTGGTATCAGAAACTAACACACAATGTAAATTATACAATAGAAAGTTTCAAAAAAAATATTATACAATAGATAAAGAAGAAAATCCTATTAAAACCTTGAAAATTGTTCTCACTCCAAATCCAAAACATATAATGATTTTTATTCTTACAATACACCTTCAACATACAAAACAATAAAAAAACCACTCAAATATGGATCTGAATACACGACATAAGTCTGACCAATAGAATTGTTCATTTTTTGTTTAGAAATGATGGAAATTTAAAATATATATTTTAAACAAAAAATGAACTATTCAATTAATAAGACTCACCTCTCGCGCACTCATATCTTTTGGTTTTTGTAGTGTTTTTGTTGGTCGTTTTGTATATTGAAGATAAACTGTAGAAACCGAAAACATTAGAAGTTTCAATTTGAAATCGGAATTTTTTTTTAAGGATTTTTCCTTGCTTCTGAAAATTTGAAAAACATAATTGAGCGCAACGCTGATATAATTGCTTTAATCTATTCAAAAAACAAAACAAAAAATTACATCAACGCTGCACTCAATGATGTTCATTCAAACCCAGAAAAGATATATTTTGTAGCTGTTTTCTATAACCATGGAGATCAACACAAACATAATTTATAAGACAATGTTTGAAAGCAGTACAAAGCATGTTTGTACTACTGCTGTGTACGATTAACGAACCGTACTAAGTCGTATTAGAATTGTTTTAGTATTTTTAAACTATGTAGTTGATTAAAGTTGTCTTTAGTTTTCATGCGATTGTAATACATAAAAAAATTGTTAAGATATTCTTAATTAAATGATAGGTGTTCGTGTGTTGTACTGCAGCGAAACAAAAACTTTGTGTACTACATGTACAAGAGCTCATGTCTACTTCAACGATAGTACTCTGTTAAACTCCTATTTTACATTTTTTTTAATTTGTTTGAAAGTATACTTAATTATGTATATTTTATTTTCTAATCATAAGAAATAGAAAAATGGCAAATAAATCAGCAGTTTATGATGACACTTTTGTAAAACACATAGATTAAAAATTGAAATCAAATTTTGTTCAGTTTAAACTTTTTGGATTTCGGGTTTTTGATTTTTTAAAATGAAAATAAACTAGAATTACCTTTTTTTGCATTTTTTTATGAATAAGAAAAATTAATATTAGTGTCATACAATTTTAGTACTTACTGAAATATATATTCGTATATATTTATTTAATTATAAATATGAACGAATTTACTTTAATTCGGTTTGACTAAATTTGGATTTGGTTCGGTTTATTCGAATTTTTTTTTGGTAATTATCTGAGTTCATATAAATTTGGTTTGGCTTTGATATAAAGAATTTCGATTCGGTTCGATTGAATTCGGGTTATATACCATGTTGTGTTATTTTTGAAAAAAATCGGGTCTTCAAAACATAATCTTTTAATATTTGCTACTGGCTAAATATATTTCACAATAGGACTATATCCTATAGGAGTAAGACAAAAAAATCTATTCAAAAAACCAGTCTCTTTTTGTTAGTTAAGTTCATTATAAGTACAACTATGATCTTAATTTATTTGACAAGCAATAATGACCCTTTTGCTTCCAAGTTCCAACATCTCAATCTATGATCTGATTCCTGTGAATGTTTTTTCAAACCCAGAAAAACGTGTCTACTCTAATCTGATTCGTTGCATTACCAAACAAACACGTGTTCATGTCTGTATAAAATCTCAAAAAGCATCATCTCTAAACATGCAAAACAGATCTTTGTACTTATGTATCTTCTTATAGAGAGATTAAGAGAAGTGTGTAATACCAATTTACGAAGTCCAAGAAAAGAGAGAGAGAGACAAGAACAACAAAGAGCAGAAACTGTTCTTGTCAGATTTGTCCATGTCTAGAGAGTAAACTCAGTCTTATCTTTAGTCCTCTAAAACCAAAATAATTTCTTACTGTTTTCTGTTAAAAAACAAAGAAACCCATTTTGTAAAAAGTTCTATAGAGAAGGTTCTAACTTCAAAGATTAGCTTTTTTATTTATTTTACTGCTTTCATATTTCAGAGGCAGCACATGAGTAACATGGCTTCTTTTGGGACCAGTGCTTCTAAAAATGGTGTCTTTGGTCATTTTGTCTCAAGTTACTTTGGACCCTTTAAAAAGACTCTTACCAAAAACTCTAATCAAATGACTAAATAGAGTATCAAGAAGATACACTTAAAACCTGAAATTTACTGGAGTAGAATCAAACTCTTATATATAATAGTCTAGGAATCTTGAAATAGTCTTCAACAAGTAAAAGAAAAACCTAAAAGACTTGTATATATAAAAATCCAGTACAAGACTAACTATATAAGCTTCAAATCCTCCACATAGTTTGGAAATGCATAAATGCTAAGACACTTAAGAGCATTAAATTCTGGAATATCAACTCTTACTCTTACCATAACTTTGCTCTCAAGATTGTAGTAAGAAATGTAGTAATGTTTTTCTAGTACTGCATAGTTTTGGCTCAAGACAATATCGTCACTATCTGTCATTCCAATCACTCGAGCTGAGTGTATACTTGTCGCATTTAACACTTTCCAGTCACGAGTCGTTTTGTAGACACGCTTCGACCATTCATGTTCCTCGGCATCCTCTAACACCCACAACTCTAAAGGATCATATCGACCACCTTCGACTAAAACACCTAATTTACCCTTGTAGTTTATCATAACCAAAGATCTTTGAATATTTGTCGCCAAGTCTTTATCAATGTTAATAAATCTGAATTTCTCAAAACTAACATCAAAGCAAACGATCATACGTTTGTCGTGCTTGGTTTTCGCTGTATAATACAAAACACCATCGATGCATATACCATCAAGACTATTTAGAGAGAAATAAGGCTTGCAACATTGAATCTTTCTCCATACGAGTTTCCCGGTCTCTAATGTCAGAATCTGATGCTGAAGACACCAATCATTATATGTTTGACAAAAAAACCAGATTGCACACAATACCTTGAACTGTTTGGCGATCGGATCATATCCGAAATAACATTCTGCTTTTGACTTAATGTTCACTTTCATAAGTTTTGGTAAGGTCACAAACTCTCCAGTGATGGGATTAGAAATCACTACCAATGTATAATTCTTTCCAATATGTTGACAACATACCAATCCGCCAACAGGACGACATAATTTATATACTAATTCTGTCGTTTCGACATATTTAGTATGATAACGAGTGGCTACAAGAGACGAATGATTATCCGGATTTTGAGGCTGGGGAGAAGAGAAAAATAGCAACTTTCTTTTTTCAACTAGGAAGGTGAAAAGGAACCTCATTGGTGGGTCTAGAGATGATTTGATCGGAAACAACTGGTTGTAGTTTTGACGGCGGATTATCGACGACCAGAGTTTCGATACGCAACGACACTGAGCCATAGACTTTGCGCACAATCTCGACAAGATATTATCGATAACGAGATCAACAGGGATCATATCAAAGTATCTTCCTCTAGTTGATGAAGTTACGTTTTCCTCCATGACTTGTTGCTTACGTTTTCTCATATTAAACCCTAGACCCTAGATTTTGGCTATGCTCGAGAAACGAATGCGTCTCCTTCACGAAACACGATCTTATATGCCGAAAACAAATAACGCTTTATAAGAGCCCAATAGATACTTCACTTCTTTTTGGGATAATATTCCTTTTCAAAATTGAAGTGAAAGAAAATAGGATAATTTTATAGTTTATATTAAAAACAAAATTTAATTATACTTTTAGTAATTTACCAACAAATTAATTTTTAGATGAAAAATTGAGTGAGAAATCTCGATCATTTGAAAGTTTCTAAACTCCTAACCTAACAAATACAAAAATAACATAATGAACTAATTTAATTAAAATATAACAATCTTTTTTCGTAAATCTTCTTTAATTTTCTGATTTCGGTACAAGTGATTGACCAGAGAGTTCACCAAACCGGCCTCCTCTGTTTCTCATAAGCTCACCAAAGGAAATACAACTCTCTGTTTGGTTATTATTATGTCCTCTTGTAACCTTAATCTTAACATGATCCGGTAATCTCAACGTATACCGATCTTCTTCCTCCGGTTTATTCCTCACAATCGAATGACCCGTCGTGTTCGATCTCGAGAATTTATCCGGTAAAGTCTCAATCTTTGTGTCATTGTTACTATTACTACTCTGTCTCGACAGAAAAACCTGGCTTGACGTCGATGTTTCGTCGTGATTACCTTCTCTGTTTTCGTGTATGACTTCGATGACAAGCTCTTTGATGTTTTCGGGTGCGTTTGGATCCAAATTCCGGCGACAAACAGGGCATGTTTTGTTAGACTCGAGCCAACGATCGATGCATTCTTGATGATAAACATGGTAACAAGTTGTTAAGAGTCGTAGAAGGATGTGTTCTTCTTCGAATTCAAGAAGACAAATCGCGCATTCGAGTCCGTGTTTATCTCCTCGGAGATCTTTGACTGAGGAGAATGGAAAAGAAGGGAAGGATTGGATGATGTGTGGCTCTAGACCAGGGTTAACCGGTGGTGGACCGACGGTTTCTGTTTGTGATTCGATTTGATTTTCTTGCGATCCGTTGTTGTAATGGTTATTCCAAGCTTGTGCGACAGAGTGGAAGAAACATTTGCAGAAGTAGAGAGCAAAGAAACCGATGAAGAAGACGACGAGGAGGATCACGGTTAGGACAATGACCAGAGGTGGTTTAGGGTAATGTTGAGGCGGTCGAGATTGAAGAGTTTTGTTTAGTTCGATCGGTTTCGCTATCGGCATTGAAGAAAAGATTGTCGGAGATTATTTATCTCCGCCGCGGAAATTCTCATACAAGAAAATGCAAGAGAGTGAGAAAGATTGAATGTTTCTTGGTTTGGCAATAGAAACTTTGTTTTGTTTTTTTACCAAAAAAACTTTGTTTTGTTTAAAAATGTTTTGGTTATGAAAAAGAAGAAGGCAATGTGTTAATATTTTGTGTATGGTAAGAATATGAGAGAATGTGTGTGTGTGTTTAGCATTTGTTTACTTAATTTAGAAATGAGTGTTTTTTTAGTTGTGTGATTGCTTTAACTTGCATTGAACGAGTCTTTAGTAACATTGTTTTGAATCAAAACTACTTTAGTCTAAATACTGAAAAAGACCAAATGGTTGAATAAAGTACAAGCAATTATTTTCTTAGCATTTTGAAAGGTTAAATTAAATGTACAAGTAGATAGCATGTATAATGGCTTATAATCTGAAGATTAACATGCAAAAGGAAGAAGAAATGAAAGTTTAAATAAGAGTAAGTTGATTAGATGAATGCAACTGTTCGAGTGGCTTGGTGGTGCAGCGAGCATGTGGAACTGAGCTTTGCATCACCGGTTCGAATAGTTTGCGCCTCTGTTTGCACGCCATTAAGATTCGATCAGTAAAAGCTTTGCCCACTTGAACAAGGTATTCTAAAATACCTTTCACCCTTTTTAGACAATTGTAGTTTTTGTTTATCAACACAAAGAAGTAAAAACTCGACAATGATCAATTTTGAATCTTATACTCGACCAAATCAGATTTGTTAGCGTCACGTTCGATATGTCAAAAATATTTTCTACTCGGCGATTTAAATTGTGAAAAAACATGTCTTCCACGACTGATAGAGCACATCGAA